AGAACTTTTTTTTTTTTTTGGTCACTATAGTGTTCTAGAGGAAACCTTTAATCTCTTTCTAGATATTACATTCATTAGTTACTGTTTTTATGTTAAAAGTTTGGGAGAGCAGAAAAAGCTTTTAGGGCGAATTGATCTCTGATTACCTTTCTACATGAGGGATAAAAAGATCTTGGTCATAGTTAAAATACACACATACGTTTCTTAGAATACAAAATGCAACCAAACCAAAGCATTTGTCAGCTTTAATAAAGCAATGTTAGTCATCATACTGTGGCTTCTTACGATTGTGGCTGTAATTTAAATGTTTCCAGAAACTCTAGTTTTAAGTTTATATTAATAACTTTTTAGAATCCCTTCACTGAGGGTTTACTGTTGTGGTTTCTAAAAAATATTAAATCAAGTGATCGTGCTCTATACCTCTTTAGCTTATATCGTACATGCCTTAATTCCATGTGAATGCCCTCTGCATTGTATTCTCTTTCGTAATAAGATGACACATTTCCTTGGAGTAGAAATAAATTGCTTTACTGATGCTTCTAATATATGTAAGAATATTACCTTACCACCTTAAAGATAAGGTAATATTTTTGAATAAAAATGTGTTTGAGGTTAAATGGAGGTAACTGGAGCTGAAGCAAAAGAAAAGGAGGGAGCAAATGAACAAAAGAGGAATGGATAAAAATTGGTTTTAGAACTCGTTTCTCCATTAACAGTAACAATGTAGAATTCTTGAGGTAAAAAGTACCTCAGCTTGCCTTTCATTTTACTACTAATAAAACTGCAAACTGTGGAGGTTAAAGGATCTTCCTGAGTGATATTCAGTACCCCAAGATGTCATCCTGAGCTTCTTTAAGTACAAACAACTTTGAGAAACCCGTTAACAAGACTTTCTTCTTAGCAATTGCAAGACACTAGTTCTTGAGAATTATGTTCTAAGCATCAACACATGAGAAAAGGGGTGCTGAAAATGCAGATTCAGAAAGTAATGAATAGAGCGAGCTCAGGACTGAGCTCAGTTCTGCGAGCTCAGACTGAGCCTCCTCAGTCACCTTGGGTGCATCTCAATCAGTGAACAGAGGCACTGCATTTAAACTGCATACCTAGTGTTCCAAATTCGGGACACTATAATTTCATTATTTAAAGAACTATTATATTTTATTTATGCCTGAATTATGTTCTTTTCCCCATAAACATATATTTGTGTCTCAAAAGCAGATTCATACTGAGTGGGCCTCTCGCCCTTTTGAGAAACTCAAGGATTAGCATCAAGGAGGCAGCAAGGGACAGATTGATTGTGCCACTTTTCTCTTGAAATCTGTTTTTGTAAATATTTACTTTTGTAAAGTAGATGGAATAAACTGTAACAGTAAGAAGATAGATCTGTTGTTCATATTTAATCACTGCAATTTTCACCAAACCTGGTAAGCACAGAAAGGCAGTTTGGTACAGACATGAAACGTTAGCTCTAGAAAGGTCCTTTTTACCTCAAGAATTCTACATTATTACTGTTCTTACTCCTAGTGGGGTCTTGGAGAAGTTACTTAATCCTTCTGAGCCCGTTTCCTCATCTACCTTGTAGGTTGGTAATTCTGAGGATTAAATTGAATCATTCATCTAAAACATTTACTGCTGACCCTGGCCATGAGTAAGCATCCAGTTAATGGTTGATGGCTGCCATTATGATTTCTGTCACCATCCACTGTAATATATATCAGGCAGAAGCATATTGGAAAGAGCAATATTGGAAAGAGCGAGGGTTGGGAGGTAGAAGACCTGGGTTCTAGTCCTCCCTTTGCTACCAGCTAACTCTGGGACTTTGAGGATCAGTTGATCTCTAGACCTCGGTTTCCTCGTCTGTAAAAGACCAGGGAGCGGGGTGGTATATTAGGTTTGGTTGAGCAAGAAGTAACACCAACAGGTTGTTGAAGAATCTTGGAGGTCATACTGGATTTATTTTTTTACTTCCCCCAGGGGAGCTCCAGGAAGTTCATATGCTGACTCATTAGAAATGGTAGTGTTCTTCAGTATTGTTGCATACACACAGTTGGGCAACAAGCATTGTTGTTTCTTCCTTTCTTCCTTATGACCTGAGGCTGGTTCTAGACTTTTACTCAGATTATAAAATAGAATAAATAAAGATATTATGAGGCATATCAGGAAAGCAGACCATGTTCATACCTTGTCTATAACAGGCCCTAAGTTTTCAGGTCCAATAGTAGGAAAGAAGTACTTGGCTATTCTACTTCATGTTAGTCAACTCATATAATCTAGTTAAGAGGCATGACTACAGATACAAGCCCTATGATACGCTAGCTATATGACCCTAAACAAGAGCCTAAATCTGTCACTGATGAGTAGGAATAACAATGCCATGCTCAAGTCGTGTTTTTGAAAAGTGAGTGAGATAGTGTATGACAGCCTCTAGGGATATTAGGTTGTCTTTGTTCCTTTTAAGCTTTTATCCCAAATGTCCTATAAGCCACCATACTGCTGTAATTTTTTAAATGTCCTCCACACACACAAAAAAGTTCATTTACAGAAAAAAAATAAAAAGAACTTTAATGCATGACCATATAGTTTCATCAGAAGTTATTTCTTCACTGATAAGATTGTCATCACTCTTTATGAAATGTGGGCATGTTACTTAAGTGTAAGATCTATAAGATTGGCTCTGGTCTAAAGAGATTGTCTTGTGTGACTGAGTCCATTTCTCCTACCATCAAAACAGATACACTGAAGCCATTTTTCCTGCTATTTCCTGATAGATTTAAGTTGCAGAACTGAAGAGCTGGTTTGTCTCAAGCTGGTCAACCTAAAAGTATTTCTTTTACTTATTAATGAGATGGTGTTTATTTAAAATGTGACATTGTACACACTGGAGACAAAATGGATGGATGTCCTTCTTACTTAAAAAATGTGTTCTCTAAGAAGTCTGGAGTCATCTCAGGTCAGGCATGGGAGGCTATACCCTGGTAAGCTGGAGGTGGCTATCTAGGATAAGAGCAGATGGGAGGGCGTCTTGGTCTTTCTAGACATGGATGATTGAAGGCCTTTAACCTAAGCAAGTGTGAGTCTCATTCTTTTCTCAGATTTCCTAGTCTCACTTTGCGGTAGCAGTGAATATAACACTACTTACCATGTGTGCCAAGCAGTGTATTAAAACATGTATGGTTGTCTCTGAAGCCAGTACAAGTTGAAGCCATGGCTATTTTTTTCTCTCTTGTGGTAATAAAGTAACTAGAAACCAAGATGATAAATAATGGTGAAGGCAGACGGGTGTCTCCATGAAGGCTTATAGCCTGAACACATTACTGGACTTCCTCTGCTTCGTGGTTGGTAGTTAGCTCTGTATTTTGCACTTCTGAAGATTTCCTATCCCCCAGTGTTCTGATAGACTTATTAAGAGACAGTAAATTCACTTTATGGCAATTGCTCTTAAACATTCTGAAAAACAGGCTGCTGACATGCCGCCTGGAAAATGCAAAGCAAATCCTTTGTCTCAGCATGGTATAAAGTTTATATGTTTATATCTGAGGTTCTTGACAAGTAGGATGAGAAGACAGAAGAATTGGAAAGCAACAGTCACGATGTTCTTTTTAACATGGGTTGGTTTTGAAAGATAAAAAACAACTTTTTTTTCATTGTTTTAAACTCTGCTTTTTATTATTATGAAAAGAAAGCTTTTCACAAAAAATGCCAAGAAGTTAAATATATATATCAAAAGTCCACTACTTAGATAACTTCTAAACATTTTGTAGTATATGTTTCCACTCATTTTTACTTACATACACACACACGACACATTTAAAAACAAAAATATAATCATACTGCATACACTGAAACATAATCATACTGCATACAGTTTGTAACCTCTTTTTGTTTACCACATATCACTAGTCATGAACATCTTTCCATGTAATTAAATATTGCTGTATAATCTCACCAGTAATGCAGTTTTTCCTCTTCCAGTACAGAATGACAGGTGCACTGAAGGAAGAAGCCTAGATGACCTTTCTGAGTAGATCATGCCTAAGCTGAGTCCTTGGAGATGAGAAAGAGCCAGCCAGGTGACAAATCAGCAGAAAAGAGTTCAAGCAGCTTCAAGATCCAGAGTCTGAAGGCAGAATAGAGTTTGGCTTGTTTGAGAAACAGCAAGGAGGCTGGTGGCTATAGCAGGTCGGGGGAGAGTATATGTGTTGAGGTTGGATTGGTAGACCAGACCAGGCCACCTACCTGGTAGTCTTCGGCAAGAAGTCTAGATTTCATTCTAAGCCACTAGAAAGTGTAAGCACGGGAGGGAGTGATCTTGAGATTTCAGATGATCACTCTGGTTGCTGGGTGCAGAATGAACTACAGGATGTAGAAAGATAAGCAGAAGTTTAGCCAGCAGGCTGCTTCAGTGGTCCAGGTGAGAGGTGCTGGTATAGTGGTCTAGGGTGATACAAAGAGATGGACCCAAACTAGTTTTCGCTCTTGCGACCAAGAAAAGGGGGATAATCATTTCTTAAATGCTGTAAGGTTTGACACTCACAAACATACGCTTTAAAATATGACCTGTGAAACAGGTCTCAAGGACCATTAGTCATATCGACTTGGACTATCCTATTCTTGCCTATAGCAATTAAAATATCTTTCATTCCATTAGATGATTGCAAATTATTTCAGTAGCTCTATTTTTTACATTAATGACTAAAGAGTCTCTTTTTAGACACAGTATGTTTTTATGATCATTTTACCCGCTTCCCAAAGTAAAGACCAATCTAAAAGGTATAGCACATTTAAGGATTTTTAAAAAGATATTACTAGTCATCACATCCAAGAGTTTTCTTCTCAGAACTGCTCCTTAATGGGTTTTCTTCTATTGGGTTTAAATTCTTACACTTAAAAAGGATGTACTCTTCATCTTTTCACAGGGCCATCTATAGGTGAAGAAGTTACCTTCTTATAAGGAAAAGTTTGAAGAGTTTTTTCTATTAGTTACC